TGCAAGACCATGTCAAATGCCATACTAAAGTCTAGGTATTACATGCCCACCTCTCCTTCCTTAACCACAAGGCTTGATATCCTATCATAGAAAGCTATCAGGTTGGTTTGACATGATTTGTTCTTTACCAATCCATGCTGCCTGTTAGGGTGTGTCTAGACTACAGAGTTTTGTCGACAAAAGTGGACTTTTGTCGACAAAACTATACCTGCGTCTACACTACCGCTGAGTTCTGTCGACATAACATCGACAGAACTCAGCAGTTTTGTCGACGTATGTAAACCTCATTTTACGAGGAATAACACCTTCTGTCGACAGAGTTTCTGTCGACAGAAGGTGTTATTGAATGGAAACTGCCCTTTGCGTCCAGACTACCATGTCGACAAAAGCAGCTTGCTTTGTCGACAGAACTCAATGTAGTCTGGACGCGCTTTGTCAACAGAAGCCTGTAGTCTTGACGTACCCTTACTTATCACCTTTTTATAAATAAACACATGGAGATACACCTATCTCATAGAGCTTGAAGGGTCATCAAGTCCAGTCCCCTGCTCTTACAGGAGGACCAAATACCATCCCTGACAGATTTGCACCAAAGCCCTAAATGGCCCTCTCAAGGATTAAACTCACAATCTTGCGTTTAGCAGGCCAATGCTTAAACCACTGAGTTATCCCTCTCTGTCCTCCAGCTTCAAGGTGAGCAGGATTTGGCTCCAAGCAACCTCACTCTGAGCACCCAAGTGCCTCCATTTCAATCCTTACTTTCCCCTCCGGCGACATGAGCGTGGTGCTCCCTTGCCGGTCCTGTTGACATTGATTTCCTTCCTCCTTTTCCAATCTTCTGGAATCTCTCCCGACTTCCATGGTTTTTCAAAGATGATAGCTAAAGGGTCAGATACCTCCTCTATTAGCTCATTGAGTATTCTAAGATGCATTTCATCAAACCCTGGTGACTTGCAGACATTTAACTTTTCTAAGTAATTTTTGACTTGCTCTTTCATTTTAACTTCTAAATCTACCCCATTTCCACTAGCATTTTCTATGTTCCACTTTTACACAACTCCATTTTGATTTTTAGGTCATATAAGATCTCACAGTTGAACCAAGGTGGTCTATTGCCATACTTTATATTTTTCCTATGTAGTGGAATAGCTTGCTTTTGGGCCCTTAATAATGTGCCTTGCTTCCCATGAGACCTTACCTACCAGCTCTCTGAGTGTACTAAAATCTGCCTTCCTGAAATCCATTGTCTCTATTTTGCTGCTCTCCCTTCTCCCATTCTTTAGAATCATGAATTTTATGATTTCATGATCACTTTCACCCAAGCTGCCTTCCACTTTCAAATTCTCAGCCAGTTCCTCCCTATTTGTTAAAATCAAACCAAGAACAGCTTCCCTCCAGTAGCTTTCTCAACCTTCTGAAATAAAAAATTGTCTTCGATGCAGTCCAAGAACTTATTGGATAATCTGTGCCCTGCTGTGTTACTTTCCCAACATATGTCTGGGTAGTTGAAATCCCCCATCACCACCAAATCCTGCGCTTTGGATGATTTTGTTAGATATTTTTAAAAAAGCCTCATCCACCTCTTCCACCTGGGTAGGTGGTCTGTAGTGACCCCTATTATGACATCACTCTTATTTTTTATCCCCTTTAACCTAATCCATAGACTCTCAACATTTCTGTCTCCTATGTCCCTCTTCACCTCAGTCCAAGTGTATTCATTTTTAATATATAAGGCAACGCCTCCTCCTTTTTTCCCCTGCCTATCCTTCCTGAGCAAGCTGTACCCATCTATATCAAAATTCCAATCATATATATTATCCCACCAAGTCTCTGTGATACCAACTATGTCATAGTTATGTTTATTTACTAGCACTTAAAGTTCTTCCTGATTATTCCCCATACTTCTTACATTTGTATACAGGCAGTCCCCGGGTTACGTACAAGATAGGGACTGTAGGTTTGTTCTTAAGTTGAATTTGTATGTAAGTCGGAACTGGTACATATTGTAGGGGAAACTCTAGCCAAACATTTTTTTTAGTTTTGGATAGCATAGGGAAAGGTTAACTCCCCTCTAATGTTTGTTTTGCTGTCTGTTCCCCTGTTCAGAAGATTTCACATCTATTTCTGTCCCTGTGACAAACTCAGGACTAAAGGAGTAACTCATCAAATACCAAACAGCTCTGCACCATGCTTTGAGCGAATAGCTTTATTTCCACATACCACCCAGGGTTCTAGGAGGAGGGTCCTTTTTTTGCTAACACAATGAGGCCAGCACTTTGTTTGTTTTGGTGGAGTCTTTGTTTGCCCAGGGAGCCCAGCATGTATAGGGGGAGGAGGGGCGGAGAGGCTGCTTTTGTCTGCTGTTCGGCAGCCTGTTGCTCAGGGGAGGGGGCAGCGGGCGTGGGGAGGCACTTTTCCTCTGCCCGGCAGCTCTGCAGGATCCCTGTCCCTGTGGCCAGCTGCTGCAGGCAGAGGCCAGTTGGAGCCGGCCGAAGAGGAGGAGGAGGTGGATTCTAGGACCCAGGTGAGCGAGCCCCGGGGACGCTGCTGC